CCTGCTAAATTGCTGCTGGCCCTTGTTTCCGAGTTCCAAGGGACTCATGACCAGCAATGACTCGCTTTTAGAGTGACGTAATAGCGTGTTCGCTGTACCATTGCCTAGCAACGGATGACGTCTCTTGTTAAGCTAACCGGCCATATGTGTGTGTGTGTGTGTGTGTATAAAAGTAAGTAGAAAGTAAAATTATCCCTGTAACAGGCCGTGAAGGCCCATAAGGTTGTGAGACGTTGAGGCTCGCACACTATGTAGACAATCGGCTCAAAGATGGCGGTAAGGTTGTCAGCCTTACGCGCCGGCTGCGCTTTACTTCACAGGAAAATTGTTTAATTAATACCTGGTACTCTTTCTGTTAGAGGCTGAGTCGACCACAGGGTCATAATGCGGCTGGAAGGATTAGGTCAACTGAAGAAAATCCAATGACCTAACGGGATTTGAACCCGCGACCTTCTGGCTTATAGCATAGTGCCTCAACCAACTACGCTACCGCGTGCCCCTTGTGTGTGCGTGTGTAAAATCTTTTTTCTGAAATAAGTGATTTGGACTCTGCACTCAACTTATTATCAAGAAGGATGCCTGGAGCTGTGGAGATGAGAAATTCACAAAAACATTTAATCCGATCATACTCAAAGACAGGCTTATTCATAGATGTGTGAATAATATTTAAATGAATCTTAGAGAAACGGTGTGAGGGTGAGGACTGAATTCGGGGGTCCAGTCATGTATCTTTGTGACCACGGTGACCAGGTAAATAACCATAAATCTCTTCTAGAATATATGTGAACCATGTAGCTGGATAGTTCATGCTAATCAGACTAGTAGCAAACAAGTTATGTGTACTGTAAGAGACTCAAAAGTATAAGTTAGTCGTGGCTTTCAGACGTACAGACATACAGGTAGCATGGAACTTTCGTTTTTTCAAAATAAGGAAAGTAGACGAAAGAAATGAACATAAAATGCAAGCTGCAATGCGATCTCGCATTGCCACTGATAAAACACCATATAAGAGAGTAGGCGATAATTGTGCAAGGAAGGAAAGGAAGCTAACTTGTATATTAATGTAGAAACCAGTTGAAATTCAACGGGTTATCATATTTTTCGTTTCTTAAACCGATACCCCATTTGTCCCTTCCTTCGTCCCTTTCGTACTTTCATCTGGTTCCTTCCTTTCTCCCTTGAAATAATTTACAAACTTTGTAATTCAGATGACACAGCTTCGAAAATGTAGCTGCCATCTATGCAAGTGCACCAAAACTACTACGGTGTGAGTACGACATAACGTACACTCACATTCGAGTAACATACTGGCAAATCACAAACCGTCTCCTATTATGCTTATAGCTAACAGACCGACGCATGCTTGTACTCACAGACGATATGCTCACTGTGTGTGAGACGGATGGCTTTAATCATCAGATGACCTCGAAGCGTCATCCGTTTCACACGTACGCACTCAACAGTTTCTTATAAATATTGTGTATGTTGGTTTCGTTCACAGAGAACTTTATCTCGGTGTTATCACGGCTCATATTCTTTAGGCTCAGAACAGGGAGCAGTGAAGGGTTCTTGTGAACACGGTAATGAACCTTCGAGATCCATAAAATTCTGGTAAGTTCTTCAGTAGCTGCACACTTGGCAGCTTCTCAAGAAGCGCTCAGCTCCATGAGTGAGTGATATTCTTTATTGTAGTTCTTCCGGTTAAAGATGAATTATGGAAGAAAATTTAGACATTTATTAATAGATGTCTGAGATATACGTGTATATTAAAAATTTAGTGGCCTAGAACCATTTCAGATAGAGAGCTCTGGCAGTTATCTGGTCAAACGGATATAAATATGGAGATAAGGAGTCGAAAATTTAGATGGATTGGCCATATACTGAGCAAGGATGGTGAAGAGAAACCGTAGGCCACGCTTAAGTGGAATCCTCAAGGAAACAGAGGAAAGGGGAGAACAAGAAACAACTGGAGGAGATTCAATCTGAAGGAAGCTGGAAGAAGCTGGAGTGAGCTGCGGTATTCAGCATCGGACCGAGACAGCTGGAAAAAGCTTGTAGACGACTTGTGCACCTGATGGAACTACAGAATATATTGTTATTATTATTATGAAATGCCACGTTTTCATCAATGTTATTGGTTTAATATAAAAGTGTAGGACGAAATAAGTGAGATGGAGAGACGACAGGATGGAGAAATACGCGGGATGAGAAATGAATGTGGGAGAAACGAGCGAAGGAAACGGAAGTACGACAATTAGTATACCTGTATAACAGACGGAGAGATTTTCTGTTTAGTTTTTAATGGCCATTAATCAGTGAAATATATTTCACTGTACACATGTCATTAGAAATATAAACATGACACGTGAAATAAATTAGAAATGTATCAAAATGTAACCTATTACTTGAGCTTCAGGATGTCAGATGACAGTTATAGTATGCTCTATTCTTTCGCTACCCTCAGGACTCAGACTCAGACTGGGTGAACGATAATATTGAAGCATTGATTATACAGAAGAATTCGCGCATGGAGCTACAGAAGGCGGAAATCATCGTAACTCTGAAGATAAGCTGTTGGAATCCAGTGAAGTGGAATCTGGTCTGACAAACTATGATTCTGCAAAGGGACACTCATTTGCTTTGCATAGAATTCCTATAGACGCGTCTGTTACACTGCATGATTCAAGTCGAGTGAACTCAAGATGAAATGAAAATAAAAGCGAAAAAACGAACAGCGAAATAAAGAAAGATAAACCAACCACAACGAAAAATGGGCTCATAAATGTGAAGCATTTGTAGCATCGTCCTGAGTCAGACTTGTTTCGACGTTGTTCAGTTTATATGCCAGTACCCTAGTCCGAACATTTCCAGAATTTTCGTGTAGAAACTGTTGGCCTTCATGCAGGAGTTATCACAGCGGTAAGCCTAGCCATTAGCTCGACGTTAGAGCACTGTTCCAGGTGCTTGTTGGGTTGTCTCTCAGTACCTCTTTCATAGGTTTAATCACTCCAGTTACGTTCCGAGACGATACCTTCCTTCCTCTTCTTCTGCTCATCAAGTCGTACTGTTAACCAAACTAATAACAAATTTGTCTCTGTGTATGGATTACAGAGACCGCCTCTGTGGTGTAGTGGTCAGAGTTCCTGCCTACAGTTCCAGAGGTCCCGGGCTCGATTCCCGGAACTACCAGATTTTCTGAGTAGTGGGTCTATAACTCAACCTCGAGAGGATAATTGAGGAGCTATTTCTAGGAAATAGCGGCTTCCGTGTAGAAAACCGAGATTAATGGCCGTGGGGGTTCGTTGCGCTGACCAGGCGACACCCTCTATCCGCAAAAGTTGGCACTAACTTCGCCGACAAGCGGCGATCCATCGATCGGTAAAGTTCGTTTGCGGACTACAGGCCACGGAGTTTTTTTTTCTTTCGTTTTTTCTTTGGGTTACAGAGGCCAGTGTTAAGAGTATGGTCTGAGTCATAGAATGGAAAATAGTACAGTGAATTTTCTACAGAGCGCAGATACCAAGCGAAGATATGCGTTATGAGTAGGCTCGAGTTAATGGGAGGAGCGGCCGACTTTTCCTCATGCGTAGGCGTTTGCAAAAATATTACTTTATAGCATGGTCTTCTGTTAAGATAAAGACAGGAAACGGTGAAATGCCACTACGTCATGAAGCGGGGGGGGGGAGCGCAACAGCTTGAGGGAAGTGTGGAAAGGATCGATCGGCGAGTCTTCTCTCCGCGGTCTGGTACAAATGAAGGTGAGTGGTCAGTACCACATTACGCTACTTTACCTCGAAAGTGAGATCTCCTGATGCCCAGCCACGTGTTACAAATGTGAAGATTCTGCATTAAACGGTTTTATGGCTCTCTTTTCCCCGACGTCTGTATGCATACTGTGGTAAATTGCTGTTTTAATATATTTCTAGAAGGGATGCGTACACGTATTTTGGTACGTTTATTTCATGTTTATCGGTTCCACATTCTGAAGTAATTATTGCAATTGTAATGCCTGTGAAAGTACTGTTAAGATTCTAAAGGGTTCTGACGATGGTGGATGACACGCAGAATTACTGGGTTTTTGGACTCTTTCCATCGTCCGGAATTCTATGTAACAGAGGACACGACGTTTCGGAAACAGATCCAGTTTCCGAAACGTCGTGTCTTCTATTACTTAGAGTGTTCTCTATTACCTAGAATTCCGGACGATGGAAAAAGTCCAAAAACCCAATAATTCTGTGAGTACTGTTTAGTTCTTTATCCTGTTGCATATCCTTATCCAGCTTGTACGTGTCATGTGAGTATGAAAGTATTGCAGTCTACGAAGGGTTGTCATTTAATCTTCGGTAACCGATTTACTGATCCTGGCACAAGAAGTTCTAGTTCCACCTGTAAACAAGTGCCTCGCATTGTGACACAACGTGCTTTAAGGCTGCACTGCGTGTTTAAATGATAGTGGCTGTAAAGCATGAAGAACCGCTTTGATTTACACGAGAGATATACATTTTAGAGGTGAAATAAACACATTATCTCGTCTGGAAGACATACTATATCAGGGACTTTAAATAGAAGTGATATAAAAACATTAATCGCTTAGGTTTACGCATATTTTGGGACCTAGAAATTTCCAGAAAAGTAAATTTGCGGGGGTATATTTAGAGTTACAGAAAGAAGCCAGATGCGGTAGAGCCAGCACTGGAACTGTGTAACGTAAAGAGTCTCCTCACTCCTCACACCTCTTCCCGCTTATGTTGTCATCTGGAGCAAAGAAGATATAGACAGTTGTTCCTATTGGTGGGGGCGTAACCTAACCAGTTTGTGAAACCTTTACGTATATACGTGACTCCATCAGCAAATACCACGTTTTAATTTCAGCCTTGGAAACGTCCCAATGTACGTATAAATGCCTTCTCCCACCCGCTATATCCTTCTCCACGTTTACTCCTTCCAGGCTTTCTCCACCTCCACCGCCACTCTCTTGAAATATTCAATCCTGTGAGAGTTCGCAGTTCATCGCATGATTGGTCTAGCCCGGTGGGTCCGTGCTTCTGAATTCTGCTGCACCCAAACATCATCATGAGAGCCGCAGGGACTGAGTCCCATGCTCTAGCAGTTAACTATATTATTCTCATAGTACTCCTTGTTGTCTTATATCTCTTGTGGTTGTCTCTGTGACATAAAAAGGGCCAAGGAGTCTTGCCAAGTGAGGGGCTGTTTCTGCGCCTCCCTTCGCTTCGGCTTTGGCTCATGGGGAAGGGGACAACTGGTAAGTTTGTTACTATCTTTGATTTATTTGCTTGCTAGATGGGCGCTTTGTCAAGGGAGTGCACTGTGTAACAATACAGTAACTCGATCGTACCTTATTGGTATTGGTTTTGTTCCACGGCTGGAATTGAATGAACAAACTCTTAATTGAACCACCCCACGAACAAAATACTCTGAACGTAAGTGCGAGTAATAAACCTTTGCTTTACTCTGTTACGGCATGTGGAATATGTTGAATTGTGATTACTTAATTGTTTTGAAGAATACAATGCTGTTGGAAACGCAGTGTTGTTTTTAAGACTATACTTATGATCAATCACATTGGTCACGCGGTCTAGCGTGAGTCTGATTCTGGGTCAGTTTACCACTGGAATAACGTGTTCGAATCCTGTTCGGGGTATAGATGTGTCTCAGCATCTCTCTGTGTTGTGTTGTAGCCCTGCGTTTGACCGATTCCCTTCCCAGCGAATCCTACCCAAAGGCTTTATTGTTTTCAGAATTAATTTCGAAGCGGAACAAGCCAGAAGGTTTAATCCCTGAGAGCTGAATTCTAGCATCAGTTTCAAAATTCCACTCCCGACTGACGGTTGCCGCTTATAATTACGATATGACCCGCACTAACTCTCTCTGAAACTCTGGATTTTAGCACATGTGGCGCGTATGTCATGACAAGAGTTTGAAAATTGGCGCTAGCGATAACTTACTCTCGGATAGTGGCACTTGCTTGCTTGGAACGCTATTCGATTATAACTTTGTTGGGATGTCGCTTTAATTATCTTAGCTCACGGCTCGTTTAATATGACTTCAGTTTACATTTAAAAGTTTATTATAAACTTGAGCTATTCAGAGCATATTGAATTTTCTACGAAGTTAAATAGATGAAACTTTGGATTTCGACCCACAAACTAATTACAAGCACGTTGTTTGGTCAGCGTGATTAGTTTCCTTTGCCTAAATTCCATTTCCGCCAAAACGTTATAAGCCACTAGAGAGGGAACTCTATGTATACCATTTTGTTCACACAGTGGTATCATTCTGTCCTGAATAAATATTAATGCTTCATCGTCCTGATATTGTTGAAACATGTTCTTCTTTATACAGATAAGATTCCATTAACTATGTTCTGTGGGGTTGAAATACAGATATGTATTTAGAAATGGTAGTCACAAAATTAAGTTATTGAAAGATAATTTTAAAATTTCACTATTGTTAATCAATTAGTGTAAGAGGACTTTTAAAATGTAGTTACAAACGCAGTGCAGGCCTACGTAATGTATGCAATAAGTGCTTGTGTTTATTCGGTTCAGAAAGGACAATACGAAATACAAAATACTAAAAATTAAAATGTACGAAGAATCATTTCAGTGTTTGCGATAATATTGTATTGTAGCATCCTGTTGCACTTTTCGCTTAGTATCGATTGGTTTTTTACAGTCTCACTTGAAACACTATGTTCTATAAAATTTATTAAAAAATATTTACTTTAAAATTTTAAAAGTCCACCACTACATGTTTCGACCAATGTGGTCGTCATCAGGTGTTAAAAGTTTTGGCGAGGAAACTGCTGTCCTCTGTTGTTGCTTATGTCGTTAAATGTATGAATCCTGTCGATGTGCATATGTGTTTGAGTTGGTGGATTGTGTTCCTTTTGTTATTTGTTGTGCTGCGCGTCTTTTTCTCATATGTGCATTTAACGACATAAGGAACAATAGAGGACAGCAGTTTCCTCGCCAAAAATCTTAACACCAGATGACGACCACATTGGTTGAAACATTTAGTGAGGGACTTTTAAACTCTTAAAGTGAATATTTTGTATTAAATTTTATAGGACATAGTGTTGCACTCGAGACTGTAAAAACTAATCAAAATTAATGCTTGCGATATTACAGATCAAGTTCTTATGAATATGTATATATGGTTCTCCTAATATTATTAGAGTGGTTAAGTCAAGGAAAATGTGATCAATTGGATATGTAAATAAGGAATATTTTAAACTTTTTTAAAGGATATCGATATCTGTGAAGACAAACAAGTGATCAGGAAGATAATATTAAAATGGACCCTTTTTCATTGCTAGTGGGGTGGGACTAAGTTCCTTGTACTGCGGAAAAATGCTATCAATAAACTCCATAGGCAGGTAGTAGGCTCACCATAAAGCTTTGGATTTTTATACACGAAGATTTGTTTTATTTAATTATTTGTTTTCCACTGGGACAACAATGAAGCTATGTTTGATGATTTTCCAAAATAGTACTCGGAACTTACATTTATAGGCCAACTATATCTTTTTAACACAACATTTAAACCTGAAATATTTATTATAATGTTGTCTGCAAAACAATGTTTTTATAAACAGTTCTAGCTTCTGGGATATTCATTCATTCATCAGTAATCTGTCAGACGACAGGTCCACAATCTCTTCCAAAACAGTTCCTCCACTTAATGCGATCTTCTGTTTTTGGAAAGAGACTATCCAGGAAAAGTGATAATGTGGTAGTTTTTCCATTTGCTTTCCACATCGCAGTACAGCAGCCGTTCAAACCACTCTGGTCACGCCTGTTGCTATACGAACTTGAACCATCTCGAGCATCATTTGCTCTGTGCTTCAAGTCGCTACTGATGACGCTGCTTCCGGCATCAGTTTTTGGTGTCTCTCTTCGTCTGATATGGAAATGAAATATTTTGTGATAAATCTCTTTAAAACTTTGTGACCGCCAAGTGTTGACATGATTTTTCTGGTGGAAGAAGAGACTGTACTGTGGGGCGCATGCGTATCGGGATCTTGTCACTTATGTCACGTCTAGTCTTGGTCCTTTTTTTAGGAATATGTCATATCACTCTTAAGCATGTGGTCACTGTTGCATGGGATCATATACATCCAGCGCCGTATATAACGCCGTATATTTCAGAGAAAATCAAACGACTTTGCAGAGGAACGGGACCGAAGGATAAACGAAGGAAGAAACCAGCATGAAACTATGCTACAAGTCGAAAGATGGCGGGTTCGATCCCCGATGAGGCCAATGGATTTTTCAATTGATTCCATCCTTCAACCTGCACTATGGCCCTGGGGTCAACTCAGCCTCTAACAGAAATGATTACCAGGAATCTTCCTGCCGGCCGGCCGGCACGTAAGGCTGACAGCCTGCCACCATCTGTGAGCCGATTGTCTAGAAAATGTGGGAGCCTCGACGTCTCAGAGTCCTATGTGCCTCCACGGCCAGTTGCAGGGATGGCTTAAAACCAGCAGGAAGCAAGTAGCAAGCAAAGCTTGCTATATGGTAATATATTGATATCCTCCTACAGTGAAGTATGAGCCGGGGTAGCGCAGTCGGTATAGCGACTAGCTACGGGCTGGACGACCAAGGGGTCAGAGTTCGAGTCCCGGTAGCGTCAAGAAGTCTCTCTTCTCAACGTCGTCCAGACCGTCTCTGGAGCCCACGCAGCCTCATATCCAATGGGTACCGAGGGCTTTTCCTCCGGGGTAGAGTGACCGGAGCGTAAAGCTGACCACTCACCTCCAGCTGGAGTCGAGCTAAAAGATTATGGATCTCTACATCCACTCCCCCATACGCCTTCGTGGCGTGCTTAATTAGTTAAGCACAGGGGCAACTTTACCTTACTTTTACCTGTAGTGAAGTAACAGTCAACTCATTGGCAGAGGATACGCCGTCAATTTAGAATACTGGACTTGTTGTTACGAAACCCAAAGGTACACATATGTACATATGTCAACAGCAAGACTAGAATTATAACTTTCTTTTCTTCCCCTTCGTAAGATTTTGGAGCAGAAATGCTCATGTTAGGTGGGTCCCTTGTCACCACGGCATGGCGCTTCCACAGGTTGCAGATGGACGAGACGACCCCCAGATATGGAAGATAGCTGCGAATATATTGAATAAGCAGCCGCGGACAGTCAACAAGGGGTGGTCCTCCAGCTTGGGGATTGGGCGCGGGGCTACAAACTCCTCACTGTAAAAAAGAAGCTTGTTACGAAAGATCACAAAAAGCCTCGGACCTGGACGGATTCTTTGGATAAACGACCTAAAGGGAAGAAAATGGACATGGAATGTTAGAAGTATGAATAGGGCAGGTTCGCATCCCAGAGAGATGGAATGGTATGATCAGAATCGATGTGGCTCAGAATAGGGACCAGTGGAGGGCTCCTCTGAACACGGTAATGAACCTTCGTGTTCCATAAAATGCTGGGAAGTTCTTGAGTAGCTGCACAATTTGCAGCTCTTAAGAAGTGCTCAGCTCCATAAAGTGAATGATTGTTTAATGCATTTGCCCGCTGCATAAACAAGTTGATGTAAAACTCCTTGATTTTAGCACCAAAGTTGCCCGATCAGATGAAGGATATAGGTTAATAGGCTCACAATTAAGAAGCTCTCACAGGTCTCCTTTTGTGTTATCTCATAAGGGTGAAGTATTGGTAGCTTTTAATATGCATGATGATTTATTTACGTAACAATGTGACATTACATTGATGCTTTCGCTCTTCACGATTTCCATCTGCTTCATTATGTATTCCTTTTATGCTAGAACTTCGACGTAATCTCACTTTTGCCCGTGCATAACAGGAATTTGCTACCCTTTAAATGAGGCTTCGCCCGTATCCTTTGGTGAAGAAAATTATGTAGATGTATTCCATGTGATACTGAAGCCTAACATATGAACGTAGGTACAACGAGAGTGTATCTCTTTCCCTTTTTAATTAATCTCGATGCAGTCAAGCTTAATATTTTTCTATTTTATTTCAGTTCCGATTTTGTTGTTTTTGTTTTTACCCATTCGCAATAATATTTAAAAAAAATAGCTTATTGGCTTTCATGTTTGTCTGTTCGTATGTAACAACTCTATAACTGATCAAGGTATTTTCGTGAAATTGCACTTTGATTGGTTGATATGCTCAAAAAAATTAATTAAAATGGAACGTTAATGACGGACACTTTGGGAGAAGGTGTACATGTGTTCCTGTGTGCTTTTAGAGCGTAACTC